ACCTGTAAATTATTATTCTCATTTTTTAAATACACAGGGTTTGCTTTTTTAACATGTAAACATCGTCACCCTAAAAAAACTCTGCACGCTGTGCATACTGTTTTCAGGTTCATATCCGCTTGCCTCATGTTTTAAGCACCTGTTACACAAACAATAATTCACTATCCTTTGCAGTCTGCTGCATTGCACCATTGTCTTACTGTCTAGAAATGTTAGTTATTTTTTATATATAGATAATTCACATTCATTTTTTTTATGTTAAATATGTTTATTTATATCTGAACATAGTTGTCAAGCTTGTTTCCTTCTTCGTCTGTATGCACAAATGACTTTATTCAGTTTTAATTTAGGCTTTTTTTGTGCCTCTTTCTTTGAACAATGTTTGGACAAATGACATCTAGCTCTCAGAAGAAGGTCTGAACTGACAGTCTGGAATAGTATCTCTGTCTCATCTAAAGTATGTCTTCTTCATCCAACCCCCAAATTAAAAATGTACAACTCCATAGCCTATTTCTGAACCAAAGGCCAAATGTTCCCCAGTCTCTGCACTGTCTGTCAATTTGATACATAGGCTCCTGTATACATATGATATGAATTGTCACATACTCACAGTCAGTTTTACTACATCACAACACTTATTTGTTTAATCTGTCCATTCATGAAAACATGTATTATTTATGGCTACAGCAGCAGCTAGGTTGCCTGCTTGATAAACCAGAAAAAACACGACATATTCCTCCCATTACTTTATTTCAATTATTGTTTATTCTCTATTATTGGGATTCTGCTTATTCCTGGACAAGTACCGTTATTTCTTATTGTTGCTGATTTGCTTGTTGTCCTTTGTCCTTTGGCCTGTGTCGTCAACACACCTTTGTATATCCCTATTTCTAAAACGTAATTAAATAATGGTCACACAACAGGAGAAACCTGTGACATGCTCCCTCTTCAGACATCTAGAAAGCTTGTGAATGACTAACAAAGCTGCAGCTGACATTAACATATTTTTGAATATCTGCAGCAAATTGAATAATGTAATGACTACTCAAAGCTACTGTTTCCATGACAAATTGTGTAGATGTTTTATACAGCATGGAAAGAAATCTGTACATTAAATACCGTTCAAAGATCTGAACATTCAAATCTCATGACTGGACATTTGCATCACTAACATCACTACTGTAACATCACTTTTAATACATTAGATTGCTTTGGTTTGACAGAACAACTTCTTCAGGTGTTTGGTGATTTCTTTCATTTTTAGTCCATATATAACTGGATTGAAGAGAGGATAATACAAAATGCTTGTAAAGTCATTATTGAATGGATATCAGATCGCACATCCAGTTGAATCACAATGACATCGTATGCACACAAACAGGAAAAGCAGATTAAAACCAACAGGTGAGGTAAACAGGTCTGTGCAGCTTTTTTTCTGACTTCATTACAACTTCGATAGGAAATTATAAGTATTCTAGTGTATGAAAAAAGTATGAAGAGCAAAGGGAGAAGTGCCATGCTTACAAGAGAAACTATCAAATATAGACCGTTCTTTTGAAGGCACACAGTAGAGACTGTAAATTGAATTGTTACAAAAAATTGCATTTAAAGTTAAATGACAGATCTTCATTAGCACTTAGTATTATTGGGACTGCAACCTGACAAGCAGGCACAAGCCAAGCTAAACCCAGCACAATACTCACTATGGTTTTTGTCATGATAACTGGATATTGCAGAGGTTTACATATAGACACATATCTGTCATAGGCCATGGCTGCCAACAGGAAGAAATCTGAAGCACATAAGGTGTAATATAGAAAACATTGCAAGAGACAGGCTGAATATGATATAATCTGTTTTTCAGATAAAAAGTTCACTAACAACTTTGGGTACATAGCAGTGTTGTAAACAACAGAGTTCACTAGCAGCGCTGCAATGAAAATGTACATAGGCTCATGGAGGTTCTTGTGTATCCAAATAAGGCACACAATGATGAGACTAAAGAAGATTGTTAGAATATATACTGTAAACATAATAAAAAATAACAAATACCTGTATTTTCCCATTTCCTCATACCCAACAAGAGTTATATATGTTACATTGAATTCATCATCCATGAAATATCACAAATTAAACTTTTATGAATCAGAAAGGCAGATTGTAAATCAGGCATAAATTAATAATCTGAGAAAATAATTATTAATATGAAGATTACATTAACACAGTACATGTATTTGTATTTGATACTGGAGCTTAAACTGCACTTGCTGTGTGTTCATCTTCAAAGTTCTGAAAGTGAACTGTCTGAGTCGGACCAAATATTTTATGACTTTTCTTCACCCTCCATGGAGCTCATTAACTCCTCCACCAAGAGCTGTTATCATGTGAACAACTTCACCAAACACTGGAGGCCTGAACCCATAGGTGCTGAACTTTGTTTACATGGGTGTAATTTCTCAACTTTCTTCTGTGTCCGCTTAAACATCATACAGGGCTGCAGTTAGGTTTAGGGGAAGATCATGGTTTGGGATTTTTGGTACTTCAGTGAGGTTAGGGGTCCTTCATTATTAGGGTAACAATAAATAATCATGTTGTGTTCGATTTGAAGTTTGTGATTTGCTGTTAGGTGATTAAATAGCCTGCTAGGCATATACTGTACACTGAACAAAATTATAAATGCAACACTTTTGTTTTTGCCCCCATTCATCATGAGCTGAAATCAAAGACTTTCTCTATGAACACAAAAGGCCTGTTTCTCTCAAATCTGTCAAAATCTGTGGTAGTGAGCACTTCTCCTGCAAAAAGTGCATACATTACATGCATCTTAATAATTCACATCTCTGCATGATTATTTCTAAAGAAAAGTGTTAAAGAGGTGGTATTCTGGTTTTTGACTTTTCCCCTCTCCTTTATTGAGTTCTATATCTTTTGTGTGCATGTAACAGGTTTGCAAAGTGAAAAAGCCCAAAGTCCAGCCCAAAAGGAGTTCCCATCTCCCACAGAAAACTCTGTTTTGAACTGCCTGAAAACGGCTCGTTTGTAGTCCAGCCGCTTCCCTTTCTTGTGACGTCACAATGAAAATACGTGTCATAATACTCGCCAAGCGGCTACTCCGACACGCCCTCAGAAACACCTGTGGAAAAACAGAGAGCTGCAGCACACAGCTCTCCTCTCCCTTCCAAACACTAGCTACCCTCCAGGCAGTCAGTGGACATAAAGTTGTTCCTGTGATGTAGAGACAGAGCTCAGTTAAAACTTTATGGATACAGATTAATAACTCACCGCTCTGAAACTCTCGCTTCAAGCCGGTCGGCAACACGTACAGCTGAACCCGAGCTGTTTACTGGCTTCTCGCTGACTCGTCCTATTCTGCTTCTGATTGGCTAGTAGTCCTTAACTAGGAACTGAGCATGTGCAACTCCCAACAAAGATCATTTAGAGACAAGATGTATCACTCCATAGCTAAAACGAAGCCTTCAACACAGGCCGGAAAGAGGAGCTGCAGCAATGTGCAGGATGACAAAAAATATGGTGCTTTTTGAAAACTAAACCATGTAAACCTGCTCTGGTACAACCTCTGAATAAGATTTTGAACCTGAAAATGAGCAGAATACCACCTCTTTAATACATCACAGGATCTTGACTGTAAACAACTTCTTGAGTTGTTTAAATGGATTTAATTTTGAGCCTGTTAATAAAAGGTGATACAAATAATAAAAATTATGAAGAGCATAGGGAGAATTGCAAGATGTAATAGAGCAACCATACCATATAATTATACTTGATCTTACACGTTGAAGTCTTTTTATTGCAATAGGATATGGTTTAAGCTTAATGCATCTCTCTGGACAGCCATGTGATGTAGAAAGTTATGCAGTGCTGTGATAACCATTGCTAAGTATTCATATGTTGCCAAAAAACTGCCAAAAGAGCGCAGGTCAAACTACTAGAGGAAATAGTGACAATTCCTACCCGTCTTTTATTTTGATTACTACACTATAAAAAGGTGAAGTTAGGAGGAGAAACCTCTTAACAAAGTAGGTGAAGCAGTTGAAGTAAGCCAGGCTTCATAAATAAAAAGCTAAGAACATGTTTAGAAATAAAATCATTCATATAAATCTTACTAGAAAGGAAATATTTGAAAGTGCAAACTTCATGGGCTCAGGTCTGTTTGACATTAATGTGCGAGACTGAGCTGTTGTGAAGTTCACCTCAGCATTTGTGTTATTGTGACAGCTAACAAACAGGAATGGACAATACGTTCATAACTGTTGAAGTGTGGTATGAACAGACGAGTATTTTGTGAAATGACTGAACTACATCTGATTCCTACATGACGTGAATGTCAAATTAATACTGCTTCTGTTTCACAGGAGCTATCTGGCTCTTATGTGTACACTAGGTTGGATTTGTGTGGCTGCTCTGAGCAGAATGTTTTGGCAAGAAGTTCTGTTTAATGTATTTTTCATCTGCAAATCTCTTTATTACTATGCTCCTGTTCAAAGAACATGGCACACAGGGTTTAAACTTGGTGTTTTTGTTGTTACTGGTATTGTTACTGGCCTTGTTGGTTTTCCCTTTTTTGTGCCCCATGAGTCTCCCTTTTGAGCCAACAGCCTGCCTTGCCATGTTTTTTGGGAACTGGAGAATGGAGTCATCATAGTCTTTAATTAGTCCAGTACAATTTCAACAGGCTTTCAAGCCCACGTCAGCAACATTGTTGAGACAAAGTAAAAATCCATTCACATGTCTGCATTATTATTAGAGAAGAAAAGACTGTAACATCACTTTTAATATGTTAGATTTGACAGAACAACTTCTTCAGATGTTTAGAGATTTCTTTCATTTTTAGTCCATATATAATTGGATTGAAGAGAGGATGATACAAAACCCCTTGTAAAGTCATTATAAACGTACAGTTTTTGGAAAATCAGATCCCAGTCGAACTATCATGACATCATATGCACACAAACAGGAAAAGCTAACTAAAACTATCACGTGTGGTAAACAGGTCTGTGCAGCTTTTTTCCTGACTTCTTTACAACTTTGACAGGATATCACAAGTATTCTGGTGTATGTAAAAAGTATGAAGAGAAAAGGGAAAAGAGCAATGTTTACCAGAGCAAACATACCAAATAAAGAGAGTGTTCTGGAAGTTACACAGTGGAGACTGTAAATAGAATTGTTACAAAAAATTGCATTTAAAGATAAATTACAGAGTTTTGTTTTAGCACTCAGTATTACTGAGACTGTGATCTGACAAGCAGGCACAAGCCAAGCTAAACCCAGCATAATACTCACTCTGGCTCTTCTCATGATAGTTGGATATTGCAGAGGTTTACATATAGACACATATCTGTCATAGGCCATGGCTGCCAACAGTAAGAATTCTGAACCACTTAAGGAGTAGTATAGAAAAAACTGAAAGAGACAGGCTGAATATGATATGATCTGTTTTTCAGATAAAAAGTCAATTAACAACCCTGGGTACATAGCAGTACTGAATACAACAGAGTTCAGCAGCAGAGCTGCAATGAAAATGTACATCGGCTCATGAAGGTTCTTGTGTATCCAAATAAGGCACACAACAGTGACATTAAAGAAGATTATCATAATATATACTGTAAACATTATAAAAAAATAAAAATACCTGTATTTGCCCATTTCCTCATATCCACGAAGAGTTATATATGTTACATTTAATCCGTCATCCATGAAGAATGTCACAAATTAAAGTATTGATGAAAAAAATAGGCCTACTATATATTCAAGCATAAATGAAAAAACTAATAAAATTCTTAATATAAAGACTGTATTAGCATAAAATATGGATCTGATTCCTATTCATTTAAACATATCTGACCTTAAACTGCTGAGTTCTGAAAGTGAACAGTTTGAGTCAGGCCACATATTTTATAACATTTCTTCAGCCTCCATCGATGTCATTAACTCCTCCACCAATAGCTGTTGCTGGGTTGGTGCGAGGCCCTAATCACTGTCCTGCGTGTACACTAACCACAGTAACACACACATAAAACTCTAGGTCCTGTTCAACTTAAAGTTACACTGCACAGTTTCACGAGTTTCACAAGCAGTAAGTCCTACTAGCAATGAACAGAGTGCTGTGTTGTTCATCACAAAAGTCAGGACCAAACTTAACAAATTTTTTATTGCAACATTGTGCAGCCACCATATGGCCCCTCGACAGCTACAACAGAATCCTACTCTGGATGCCTGAGCCTACAGGCTTTTTTCAACCTTATTTACTTAATACTACTTAAAACAACAAATACAACAAAATAAGGAATTAATTAAATTATATACTTTATATTTTTTTTACAATGCTTGGGCGATAAACATGGCATGAATACGTGACAACAAAATATGTTTTTGTCCATGTTTGGATAGGTTTAGGCACAAACACAACTTGGTTAGGTTTAAGGGAAAAACATGTTTTTTAATTAATATAAACACTTCATTAAGGCCTTTGTTGACTCGCTGTTGGAAATGAGTGTAGCACAAAAAGTTGCGGCATATGCGGTACCCCTCTGGAAGCTGGTGGCAAAGGCACTACCTTTCCAGATGCTGGCAGAAAAGCTGGAGTGCAGAACCAGAGACTAGCAGCTGGGGTGATGGTAGCTGAATTTCTGGGAAGCTGGTCAGCAAAGTCTCTTGGGGGCTGGGCAGCAGCCGGGTTCAGAAACTGGGCAGCAGCGAGGGCAAAGACCTGGGCAGTGGGGAGACCAACCTGTTTTCACTACCAGACTCGTCACATATGGACGCATGGTCAAGATCCATCGGTGTCAGTTTGTAACGCACTGGGGATCCCTATAGTGTCATAGTTCAACGCAGGGGAGGAAGCCCTGTAGCATCAGTTTTGATGGTAAAGGTAGGTTTATGATATTTGACAGAAAACCCAAACCATGATCTTTTCCTAACCTTAACCAAGTACTGTTTGTGCCTAAACCTAACCAAATTGCAACGTTTAACTACTTTAATACCGTGTTTGAAACGCTTGGGTTTTATTTTGAAAGTGTAACTGGACATTGCAAATGTAATGTTGTTAACTTTACTGGATGTTGCATATTTGTTGTTGCTAAGCGTTGCTAATTTGAACGCAGAACGTTTAACGTCAAAAAATTATGCTAAAGGGGTACCCAGGGCATTAAAAAGCGACACCAAAGGGCCTTGACCAAGGGTCCATATGTGACGAGTCCGGAGTGAGAATGTGTCGGTGAGTCACGACAATAAGTTTTGGAGAGTTTCTCTGGAGCTGAAATATAATATTTAACTTTATTAATACCCCAGATCCAATGTCAGTAATTTGAATGTGATTACTTGTAATCAGGGTTAAATTTTGCTAATTGATGACAGCAAAGTAAAATATTGAGAAGGTCTCATAGATAGTTGTGTGTTTGGGTTGGAAGAAACAGGTCTTGTGCCTGCTTGTGAGCTTGTGGTATCACCAACAGTAAATGTTAAAGAAATGTTTTGCAATAACTCAATTAACAAACAAATGTAAATGCTCTGTATAGCACATTTCTATTCTTTTCAACCACTCAAAGCACTTTTACAAACACATTCATACACTGAGCCTAAGTGCTCAAACAGAAACTAACATTCACACACATACACTGGCGGAACAGCCCAAGGACACTTCGACATGCAGCCTGGGGGAGCCGGGATTGAACCGCCAACCTTCCAATTAACAGCCAACCCGCTCTACCTCCTGAGCTGCTCAGACTGGAATCTGATATTCTTAAAATTGTGAATTTAATTATGACTTTACAACTTTAATTATGACTTTACAACTAGTTTTGAATCATCCTCTCTTTAATCCAATCATATATGGACTAAAGATGAAACAAATGTCTAAACACCTTAAACAGTTGTTACATCAAGACAAAATGAACTAATGTATCAACACTGATAACTGCTTCTGTAATAACAATGCAAAGATGTGATTTCTCTGATCCTTGAAAAGTATTTAATGTCAGTATTTCTTTTGATAACTCACACACAGTAAAGAGCTTTACTAGCTTCTACAGAGTGATGGTTTCATTTGAATTTAAATTAACTGTACAACTGCAGAACCCTAGTAATACCTTTTACAATAACTAGAGCTAACAGATTACACCTGTTTTAACCTCTTACGCTGTTTGTATAAGAGAAGGCCTCTTGGATATCCAGTAACAGTTTCAAACCCAAGGACAACATCCACTTAGCTATCCTCTTTTACATCATTTCTGAATTCATACATTTATCAAAATGTAGATTGTGATTTTAATTAATTCTGCTCCCTTACAGTAGTTATTTTGTATTTTTTAATTGCTTTATTTTTATAGCTGTCTTGTTTTTATTCTTTAGTTTATCTCATTACTGTTTCAGTTCAGTATTACATTTTTAAAACACTCTGTTTGCTTGTTCAATGCATGGCCAATTTATTAATATGTCCACAAAGCATTGTAAATGTTGAAAACATCATGGTGTGACAGAGTTATAAATGTTTTAGAAAGGTGAATAGTTCAAACTGAACATCATACACTGTAACTTCTGATAAACACAGTCTGGACTTCACTTTATTAGCATTAAAATAAAATTGAATAATATTCTTCACTAAGTGAAGCTCTTCCAGCTCATTTTTGGCAGCAGCACTTGACAAGATAAGTATCACACTGTGTGCCTGTTTAGTCAATTCTCAGTTATGTTATTTTAGTCTGTTTTGTATCTGTTATTAGGGCCCGAGCTGAAATGTTGAAAACTTTGCACATAATTCAGGTGCAGCGAAAAATTTCATATTTTATGGGTTTCGTACATGGCCGTGGCAAAATGGCTCGCTAGTGCCCCCTACAGGCCAGCCCCCAGGTAAAGTTTCACCTAGATGTACAACATTTCTGGTGGTCATCCATACTTTAACGAACTCCTCCTAGGGATTTAGACCAATCGACTGCAAATTTTTTACTGTGACTGTAGCAGAGGTGTGGTTATGAAGAGAGATGAAGTTGGATCTCCAACTTGGGTGCGAAAGACTAAGAACAAGGCTTTCAAATGAGTTATAGTTTAGTTTAGGTTTAGAGCTGATTAGTAGGCTAGAGTGGAAGATAGCTGCAACTCCACCTCCTCGGCCTGTGCCTCGAGGAATGTGAGTATTAATATGACTGGGAGGGGTGGATTCATTTAGGCTAACATATTCTCCATCACCCAGCCAGGTTTCAGTAAGACAAAATAAATCAATATCATAATCTGATATTAGTTCATTTACTGGTACAGCTTTAGAAGAGAGAGATCTGATGTTTAAGAGTCCACATTTAATTCTCCTATTAGTTTGCACTATTGCTCTTGTGGTTTTAATTTTTATGAGGTTTTTATGCACAGCTCCACTTCTGTTTACCTTTTTAAATAATTTCGATGGTCGGGGGACAGGCACCATCACTATAGGATTTTCACTAAGTAACTCCTGAAATGGAGGAGCAGAGAAGTGTGTTAGACTGCGACTCTGCGTAGGGTTTTGGGTGGGTAACTGCTGAAAAAGAAGGGCAGAGAAGTGTGTTAGACTGCGACTCTGCGTAGGGTTTTGGGTGGGTAACTGCTGAATTAGAGGGGCAGAGAAGTGTGTTAGACTGCGACTCTGCGTAGGGTTTTGGGTGGGTAACTGCTGAATTAGAGGGCAGAGAAGTGTGTTAGACTGCGACTCTGCGTAGGGTTTGGGTGGGTAACTGCTGAAAAAGAAGGGCAGAGAAGTGTGTTAAACTGCGACTCTGCGTAGGGTTTTGGGTGGGTAACTCCTGAAATGGAGGAGCAGAGAAGTGTGTTAGACTGCGACTCTGCGTAGGGTTTTGGGTGGGTAACTGCTGAATTAGAAGGGCAGAGAAGTGTGTTAAACTGCGACTCTGCATAGGGTTTTGGGTGGGTAACTGCTGAATTAGAAGGGCAGAGAAGTGTGTTAACTGCGACTCTGCGTAGGGTTTTGGGTGGGTAACTGCTGAATTAGAAAGGCAGAGAAGTGTGTTAGACTGCGACTCTGCGTAGGGTTTTGGGTGGGTAACTGCTGAATTAGAAGGGCAGAGAAGTGTGTTAGACCGCGACTCTGCGTAGGGTTTTGGGTGGGTAACTCCTGAAATGGAGGAGCAGAGAAGTGTGTTAGACTGCGACTCTGCGTAGGGTTTTGGGTGGGTAACTCCTGAAATGGAGGAGCAGAGAAGTGTGTTAGACTGCGACTCTGCGTAGGGTTTTGGGTGGGTAACTCCTGAATTAGAAGGGCAGAGAAGTGTGTTAACTGCGACTCTGCGTAGGGTTTTGGGTGGGTAACTGCTGAATTAGAAGGGCAGAGAAGTGTGTTAAACTGCGACTCTGCGTAGGGTTTTGGGTGGGTAACTGCTGAATTAGAGGGGCAGAGAAGTGTGTTAGACTGCGACTCTGCGTAGGGTTTTGGGTGGGTAACTGCTGAAAAAGAAGGGCAGAGAAGTGTTAAACTGCGACTCTGCGTAGGGTTTGGGTGGGTAACTGCTGAAAAAGAAGGGCAGAGAAGTGTGTTAGACTGCGACTCTGCATAGGGTTTTGGGTGGGTAACTGCTGAAAAAGAAGGGCAGAGAAGTGTGTTAAACTGCGACTCTGCATAGGGTTTTGGGTGGGTAACTGCTGAATTAGAAGGGCAGAGAAGTGTGTTAGACTGCGACTCTGCATAGGGTTTTGGGTGGGTAACTGCTGAATTAGAA